AAGTGGACGGGTTTGTAGTAACGACATTAGGAACATATCCGCTATCATCTGTGAAACGGATATTTAAGTACGGTCAACCAACTCGTGATGGCGTCCTTAAAATTGACGAAGGGATGATTTCAAATTTGTGTTTAGCCTTCAGAAAGAAGAAACATAATAAATCTTTTTAACTGTTCATTTTCAATTTCTTTTAAGGATTTTTAATAAGGCATAACATAATATCTGGGTAAGAAAATTACGAGTTTGTTTTTCTTCTCTAGAAAACGGTATTCTCTATTATTTGTTTACATTGGAACAAATGATTAACGCAGGATGTGTTTTTCTTTTTGGGTGAACACATGACACATGAGTGTTCACCCCTCTCTTAATTAGCGGTTATTAACTTCCTGTACAAGGAAGTCGCCATGTAATTTTCCCAAGAATCTAAAGTTTGGTTAGCAACGATTACTTATTGCCAGTTGAAAAATCAGCAGACGACAAAATTGAAACACTATTAGATTGCACGTATTATTTTAATCAGTGATACTAGCAGACGACAGCCAGCGTACTGTATATTATCAAACAGAAACAATAAACACTTTATCAGCTACACTATGAGGTTACACGTGTTATTTTAAACATTAATAATAGCAGACGACAGCCAGCGTAACAGAAATAAACACTTTATCAGCTGTTTACAGGTTACACAATGACATATATAATATTACATTACAATGCAAAATACATGATTATTAAGGTTTGAGCGTGCATGTTTATACAGTCACATTTAATTTTATTTCCATAATGATGAATATATAATGTCTGATATAATATTCAATGATATAAATAAAATATTATATTTCTATGTATTAATAAAAAAAAATGAAGTGAAGATTATCATTTAGTTAACAAATCAAAATTTCGGGAGAGGGTAAAGTACCTGATAACTTTACTTATGCATGCATGTTTTATATAGACATCAAATCATATTTTTATAGAATTCATTATTGCAAATAAATAAACTTAGATAGCATATGCAATACTATTAGTTGAATTTAGTTTTATATATAGAACATAATTGATTCATCATTATCATTTAGTTTGCAAATTGAAAATACATTCTCAGGTCAAAGGTGACTTTCCCACGAGCATATATGTTTTCATCGCGTCTTTTCCAAGATGCATTTTATCAGCGACATCCTCGGGACGACTTCTTTGAATAATTCACTTAACAGATCATCCACGTAGTTGAAGAGATTAAAACAGACTTTGGTAAGCATTTTTACATTCTTATAAATATTTTTATTTTATGTAACCACATTTATAGACATTATGAATGTACCTTATATGATAGAAGGTTGTGTTGCTGGGAATATTCATCAGGGGTGCAATATTTTTAGGAACGCAGGTGTCCAATGCACGGCGATAGCATACATGGCAATTGTTACAATTTTTCTTTACAACTCGAATGTTCAAAAGTCTTTAGGAAATCTTTTAAATAACTTTTCATCTCAGATTATCGACGATATTGTTGTCAACGGCAATCAAGTGTATGAAAATCTGTTAATAGAAAACGGATTTCCGGAAGGTCATTATCTAGCACATGACGAACTTCCAAGTATTCTGTCATTACCGGTAGTAGGTAATATTAATTCAGTGGTTTATTCAGACATGCTATATGGAATGATCGGCTAAACTACATACGAACAAGGTAGTGGTGCTCTTAACTTTCAAGAAGCATTTAATACTGGTTTTCAGGTATCAGATTTCTTGCTATGTACATTTGGGGACCTGTCCATAGCAGTAGCTCATGTTAATACCATGTATTACGTATTTGATTCTCATAGTAGGATTACTTTAGGACAATTCAGTGAAGCAGGCAGCTCAGTTTTATTACAATTTAATAGTATGTCATCAGTTGTAAATTACTTAAATAGCATGTATGGTGGTGCATATTTTAATATATCCCCTGTTATTCTGCAGTATGATGGCCATGCATGTATAAACAATGAGATAAGTATGAATACGACTACAACAGAAAATACTGCTTGTATGCATGTCAATGGCTCTGATATTGTGAATGAATACTTACAAAAGTCTGAGGATTTTAGAATGTATACAAATGAAGTGGATCAAGCTACTTTAATAAATATTGAAGAAACCAATACACTGAAACGAAAATTTGACAGAAGTGATCACATGTATTCTTTATCATTAACCAAAAAACGAAAAAGTTCAAAAAGAGTGAAAGTATCAAACAAGTCTGATTTTCATATAGTTATGGATATGAATAATGACCCAAAAAGAAATTTTATCACAGTTTTAAATGGAAGTGTGAGTGAAGTTTTAAATGTTTCATCCTCAGAATTGACACATTCAGATAAAAATGCAAAATCTGATGCAGAGTTGGTCAGAAATAATGTTCATTCTGAACTTTTTGATTTAGAAATAAGGAGAGTTCCTGAATATTCATGTTCCAGTTGTGGAAGGTTTCTTTTTGAGAATGAAATTAATTTTGCAAATTCTGAGGGAGAACACTTTTCTATGTTGGGACTGACAAAAGAATCCAAACTATGTGCTTTTTGTCTTTCAAGTTTGAAAAAAAAAAACCATACGTAAATTTAAAATATAATGAATTGGAGCCCTTTGATATACCTTATTGTTTGCAAGGTCTTACACTCATGGAAAAGAGACTGATTAGTAAAATTCATGTATTTATGACAATAATAATTCTTCCTGGAGGTCAGTATGCGGAAAAAGGTATGGCGATTGATTTTCCAGCAAATATGATTGAGAATTTTTCTTGCTTACCTAGAAAATTTAGTGATAGCAATATAATTACTGTTTCATATGGGGAAAATAAAGACTTAAAAACTAGTCATTTAGTTCGAAAAGCTAAAATTTCAAAATGTTTGCAATGGCTGAAGCTAAATAATGCTGCATATAAAAACATTACAGTAGATAATGATGCATTAAGTAAATTAGTTGATATCAATGAAGCAAATGATGGTGTTCATATTGATAATATTGAGGAATTTGGAATTATTGAAACAGATCAGTCACTGCCAAACGTCGAATTTGGTAATATTGCTAACATGGAAAAATTTCCTCATTTAAATCTTCAGGGCCCGGTTGTTCAAAAGTGTCGTTAAGCTAACAACTAGTTAAGCCTAACGACTCGTTAAATTTTAACATTGTTGTTAGCTAATTACTGCGTTAAATTATGTTGTTCAAAAATATTTAACGACTGAGTTAACTAACTACTTGTTAAAAAATTTAACAACTGTTTATTTTAACATTTTCCCATAATTCCAAAAAATCTACCCAAAATTCCTCCACTTCCTGTTTGAAAATGGCTGAAGAGCAACCCCCCAAGAAAATTCCAAGAATTAGAGGGCAGAATTTTTCCAGTATGGAAGTTAACCTCATCAGTAGGAGAGTTGTTGAAGAACTGGCTTTACTGAGAGGGAAATTCGGTAAGGATGTGACAGCTGATGCAAAAAACAGAATGTGGGAAAAAATAACTGCAGAAGTGAATGCTCTTGGGGTGAGCTATAGGCAAGTTCTGACTGTGAAAACCAAATTCAGAAACCTCACAAGAGACGCCAAAGAAAAATTTGTGTATGAAAAGAGGGAGAGAAACAAGACAGGAGGAGGACCTGCTCCAAAACCAATAAGCGTTGCTGAGGAGAACATAATAAATGCATTAAAAGACACCTCCTCTTTCAAAGGAATAGATGAAGGGATGGAAACTTCAGTGGGCAAGTATTTTAGATTTACTAATCAATGATATGCTTCCATTAATTTGTTAAATTCCTTTGAAACAATAAATCTGACGGTTATTTTTATTGCAATCATAGAAAATAATGCAGAAAATTATTAAGCCAGAGTGCGTCGTCTGCTTTGACATTAGGATATCCCTTTCAACGAAATTCCCTACAGACGTCGCCGATGTGCTAAAAATAGAATTTTATGTTGTGTTATAATGCAACCTTTCTCTTACCTTAGATATATAAAAATACCTTCTTATGATATTGATGAGAAATAATCATCACATACAAATCTATTTATCGATAAAAAAAAGGTATAATTATTGTTTTGCAAGAGCTGAAGTTTGTTGGCCATCACCTTTGGCGGTCAATTCTGCAATGCCCCTTACATCATGTTTTACCACCATGAAAAAAAAATAAGCTGTAGTAAAATTTTCAGAGAAAATCCTTTTACTTTTAAAGATTATTTAAATTTCAATAAAGTTATTTGTAAATACAACCAAGAACGAACTTGCATTGGATACTTTACTAAAGTCATTGTGACATGTTTATAGTCCATTTCAAAATAGGCATGCATTATTAAAAATTGAGTTATCTTTCTTTGTGCCTGATTTTTTTTGTAATTTTCACTTTATCATTTTTACAGGGTTTCCTCAGCAGACAGAAACATGTGAGAGTAGACCAACACAGTTCAGTATACAAGGTGTGTATCTAAAGAAGATATTCATGCATACACATGACAATAAATTTCAAAAGAAATTTACTTTCTTTTAAGCATTAAAATAAATTTTATCAACAAAAAAAGCCCATTAAATTGCTTGATTTGTTAGTAATTATTAAATTCAGGATTAGTATAGTAGCCATCCTATACCTATCATTGTTTAAATCTGGAACCTTTTATAAAATATTAGTATTTAAGATATAAACAGTTTTTAATATATAGTTTATTAAATTGCTGAGCAAATTGTTTATTAAATGAATCAGTTCATGATATAGATTTATAAAATGTTAACACTGACTGGTAATTAATTGCAGTAATATTATAATTGTAACCATAAGTAAAGAGTGAGATTATTTGCCCTTGTAACAAATAATTTGGTATAAATTGAGAGTGTAAGTATAATCAATACAGGGGTGGATCAAGTCATTTTAAAAGGTCCCCATTCAAATGCATAGATCATAAAAAAAAAAAGGGGGGGGGGGGGTTCACTGCAATGAGGAATAATGTTCATGAATATTCATTTCTTTTGTGTATAGTATTTATATGACAGCTAATGAAAACAGGTACAAGAATAACATTATTCAAGTATTATTTTATTTGATTTTGATCGAATGAAGAATTCTTACTATCAATCAAATATCCCAAAATAAAATGATTGTTAAAAAAAATAAAATTATTATGTATCTTCATTTCATTTCATAAAGCTCATCATCTGATCAAATATATACTGCTGAACCTATCAGCTCACCCATTCCAGCACAGATTGCTGTCTCAGGATGCCAGACAGCTGATGGTAATTATTACTTAGATTTTTGCATTATGCTATTATTTTTACAATTCTGCATTTCATAAAAATGAAGATGCAATGTGTCAGAATCAATATTTAAATTAAAGAACTAAAGTTGATATATATTGCTGTGAAAAGAATTTATATGTATAAAAAAATGACTCATGGAGGGTCTTATACAGGGTCTCTGTAATAGCACGCTTTAAGTAAATTTTGTATCTATTTACTTACTTTCATTCAATTGGTCTTTATATATTTTCTAAAGTTGTAATTGACAGTACAGAATATGATGACATATGGAAAGAGCTATCATGGCTATATTACTTTTTACCATACCTTTCACCAATCTATGTTGTTCAATTGATGGGGATTTTATGTCTTGAATATATGTATCTTGACTGACACATTTAAATATAAATATTCAAATATACATCAACTTCATTTCCAATTTGGTGGATAGTTGTCTCAAGGTCTTCTTATCAATCATACTATTCCTCCTTATTTTTATATACTCAACACATATGCAATGTATACCCAATCAACTGAGGCAATTTTAATGTTTCTTTAATCAAAACTTTTAGAACCACCATCTTCTGTGGAGAGTATCTGGATTAGGAGACTGGAGCAGGTTCACCAGAGAAATGAAGAAACACCTTATACTGAACATGCCAACCTATCAGCCCAAATACCTCTTTCATTTACCGGTACTAATAGCAGCACTCAGCAACCACCAAAAGCCAGGTATATGTTTTAGATGAAAGAATACAACAGCCTTTATAATTTCTATACACTAAGTAAGTTGGGTATGTACTGAATGCTCTTTTAGCGTTGTATATATCTGGCGCTGCAACTTTTTTTAAATGGAGCATCACTGATGAGTCTTTTGTGTATGAAACACCTGAATACATCCTGGAATATACTTGCTCTTTGTTAAAGGGATTATGATGATATAACTTGGCTTAATTGGGCTTCCTTTGGACTCTGATGCATATTTGTCTAATTGGCAATCATACCACATCTTCTTATGTAATGATTTGAATACTGATAAATATTCTTAAAGTGCCAATAAGTTTATACAGCAGCCCTGTATAAAATCAAGTGTTATCTCCCTTTAAATTGTTTCATTAAACTTGTTCTTTTATGATCAAATATGTCCTGTAAATGGGGATATAAATTCTAAATCAAATTATCTTATTTAACTATCAGTTAAATGTAAGATTCAGAGAAATATCCCAAATACTCATTTGTAGAATTAATTAAATGAAAGTCTACATCACCTTTTGTTTAAATATTAATCCGGAACACTTACTTCAATATGATCAATTTTTGTTAAAGAGTATTAGTTAAAGGTATAAACATTTATGTACAAGTTGTAGAAATCTTGGCCTTTGAAAAAACAATTTTACATAAATAGTTATACCGGTTTATAATAACTATATTTATTTACAAGATTTACCAAGTATTAATTTTTTTTATATATTTCAGTGAGAATAAACGGACAAAGAAACCCAAGAGAACTGCAGAAGATGTGTACGAGTTGCAGTGTCAGGCATTAGAGATCGAGCTAAAAAGAAATCGGACCCAAATGGAACTTTTCAAGAAGCAAATGGAGTTTTATGATTTGATAAAGAAAAATTTTGAAAATAGTTGTACAGAGTCAATGTTAGAGGCTTTATTTCAGTAACTTTAATCAACATTTATCTATAGTTCCATATTAATGTTATATTTTTGATATGATTTAAATTATTGTTATTGATAAAATACATATTCTGAAAAAAGCTTTTTTCAATGTTTTATTCATGATTTCAGTGGTTAAAAAATGTGGAGGAAATGTGGTCTCTGACACCTCTTCCGTCCTGATCACCAAAGAAACGTTCCCCAAGATCTCCATCATTGTCTATCACTACTCCATCATCTTCAATGTCTGGTTCATTTAATAGGATGCAAATATTGTGAAGAATAGCACAAGCAATGATGATCTTGCATGCTTTGCTTGGTGTCATTCTTATCTGAAACCAAAGAGTTAAATTAACGTAGAATTATTGCCTTTTTTTCACAATAGCATGTTAATTTGGTCTTAGAAGTTAGAACTGAAACAAGAGTGCACATGCTGAAATGACTCACCTTCTTTACTAATCCTTGCTATTATGTTGATATTCCTAAATATACAGCTTTACTACAACTATCACATAAACTTAACATGATACAAGAAAATGAGGTCAAGGTCATATAAACCAAACAAGAAATACATGTACACCTAACAATCATTCAATACACTAAAAATAGTTGACCTATTACTTATAGTTTATAAGAAACAGACTTAACCAATAAAACTAAACATTGACCAATGAACCATGGAAATGAGGTCAATGTCAGATGAACCATGCCAAGCAGACAAGCACAGGTAATGATTCTTCCATACAACAAACATAGTTGACATATTGCTTATAGTTTAAGAAGAACAGACCACAACACAAAAACTTAACTTTGACCAATGAACCATGAAAATGAGGTCAAGGTCAGATGACACCTGCCAGCTAGACATCGACACCTAACAATCATTCTATACACCAAAATCAAACAAAATTTAATTTTTAATCCTTTGCATGGATCTCGACATTCCCAATTTTGCTCCAAATCCAAAATCTGAAACCAGAGTTAAGATTCAGCACATCTAATATATTCAATAATTTTGGTAAAAATCAAACACAACATTTAATTTGGACCCTGATTTGTACCAACTTGAAAACTGGGTACAAAACCAAAAATATAAATTTATGTATAGATTCAGGATATCAAAGAACCCAATCAATCCAATTTTTGTAAAATGAAACAAAGTTTAATTTTGGACCCTTTGGATTTTATATTATATGGACTAATTTGAAAACAGGGCCCAATATAAAAATATTAATACACAGATAGATTCAGCATATAGAACCACAAAAAAAATCAGTTTCTGATGAAATCGAACAAAGTTTAATTTTGGATCCTTTTTGACCTCAATGTGGACCAATTTCAAAATATCCAAATCAATAACGTGATAAGAACCCCAACAAAAGATGAAAGTTCTTTTTTTTTAATCAACTGCACTTTTTAGGGAGCTACCATTTGATTTGTAAAAATCAAATGGTAGCTCCCTTATGTTCTATGACACTGATCATTTGCATAAAGAATTGATTTTTTTTATGCTTTACCTCTGAGTGTAATATATGGAACCGTCTCTTCAGCCTCCCAAATGTTCTCTCAATCACACTTCTTGTTGAACAGTGGCATATATTGTACTTTTTCTGATGATCTTGTACAGGATTCTGGTATGGGGTCATCAAAAATGGACGACAAGGATAACCACTATCCCCCAGCAGTACACCATTTGCCCATCCACCATTTTGTTCCATGTAGGTACACACCTATACATAAAGGTTTATATTTCATTTACATCTTATATTTGGTTAAAACTACCATTTGTATAAATTAAATGTATATATTCAGCTTCACGGAGGAGTTACACTATTTACCTTAAATAATATTGAGCAAGACTATTTTTCAGTTATTGTATATCAATATTTTTTAAACATAGCCACCTCTTAAAACTAATTGGTTGTTTCTTTATATATGGAATAATAGATTTTTTAACATATATATCATTTACTAAAGATATTTCTATATTCTTTTTTCAGTTATTGTATCTCAATATTTTTTTAACATAGCCCCCACTTAAAACTAAAAGGTTGCTTCTTTATATATGGAATAATAGATTTTTTAACATATAAATCCTTTACTAAAGATATGGAAATACAATTGCAATCTTATATGTATAATGTATTAGCCTTTCTTTCATTAATCCAAATTTTATTATGCTAAAATGATTAATTATATGTAAATGTGAAATGATAAATTCATTATTTTGAAATGAAATTCAAATGTCCTCAGATTGGTATTTTTACACCTTTATGTGTAATGACAAAAAGGGAAAAAAATATTAATGATGACAGGCAATAAAAATAGGGGGTTTATGTCCAAGAAGAAGATTTTGACTTCCCGCAATGGTAACCAATCCAAGATAAGAGATTTTTAATATGTATTGAGAAAATAAGAAGTCTTCCTACTGTTAACATATAGTGCTTGAAAGGGAATATGACTAATAAAAGATTACCAACATGGCAATAAAATACATACTTGTGAAGTCCTGAATATGTGGGAATCATGACTGCTACCTGGCCAGTTTGCATTTATGTTTGTGAATTTACCTGCAAAATATAGAATATTATATATAATGCAAAGAAGAAAGAAATGTTGTAATAGCATAAACAGAATTATATGTAACAAATTATCTTTTATTAATTTTTATATTTTTCTAATTAAGAGGTGTAGCAAGAGTCTCAAAGAGAGGATTATTTGGGATCATGCAACAGTGGACTAAAAAATAAAATTTATTTGAATCCATTTACCTAAAAGTATTGTAATGGTTATCTTAAAATGGGGTGTCCAAACATTTCCAACTACAAGTGTATAATTGCTTCAAAGTTCAGAAAACACAATGAATAACCATGATAACTCAGATGTACAATGCATGTATAGACTCACAAATTATGACTTAATTATATTGTTTCAAACTAGGAAAACATGATATTAATAATCAAATTAATTGTGCTAATACATCTTTATTTTTTTATAGTTGATCCACATCATAGCAATATTAAAATTATAAATTGTACTGTAGGTTAACCTAGGTTAATCTTTCTTTTTTTTGGATTAAAAGGGAAAATAAGAAATGTATCTGAAACAGCAGTGGCGGATCTGTGGTGGGGTTCCAGGAAACCCCCCTTCTTAGGACTATCAGTGCATTTGAATGGGGACATATGGTTGGAACTCCCCTTAATCATAGGTTGGGACCCCCCCCCCCTTTTTGAAAATGGCTGGGCCCCTGAACACAATCTTTTTCTCATTGAAGAAAAAATGACAAATAACTTCTTTTAATATTGACTAACCAATATTTTAATTGACCTGTAATAGGTAAACCATATAAAATCCTACTTTTATGTCCTAGATGAAGGTTTACACTGGAGTGAAAGTGAAAGTAATTACTATGTGAGAAATAGACTATAGGGGTCCCAGTCATACAAAAAAGTTGAAACCAGTTTATTATGTTATGAAGGTCAATGTCATATTAGATAAGAAAGAAATGTTTTACCTCTGGCATCACAAACAGCCTGCACATTGACAGAATGTACCCCTTTCCTATTCACGAATGATGGTTCATCTTCTGATGGAGCCTGGATACGGATATGTGTCCCATCTATTGCCCCTAGCACATTTGGGAAACCACTTAGACGGTAAAAGTCTCCTCTTGTTTCATCAACATTTCTCGGCCACTTGATAAACTCATCCCGTTTGTCACATAATGAATTCAAAACATCAGACACAATACGTGAGACAGTTCCCTTGTGCAAACCTGTAAACAGACCAAAAACAACAAAATACAATTTTGGAGATCGATAAAGTACAAAAATAAAAAGTGTATTTACTGTTTGATTATTATATATCTTATTTAGAAAATCAACAAATTGAAAGTATCATTAAAAAATCAGCCAAAGATAATTATAGCAGTCGATTAACACCACATTGGCAATGTTTACTTAATTTTAAATGACATATGATAAATATATAATGAAATCTTACCTATTGTGTCTCCAACTACTTGCAAGAAACTGCCTGTGGCTAAAAATCTCATGGTTACCATGACTTGCTGTGGCACAGTGAGGGCATGGTTTCTCTTTGTTTTTCTTGATACATCATTGCTAACTAGGTTGGAAATGAACATAATTCCTTCTCTACCAAATCTGTACCTTTCTCTTAATTCCTCATTGCACAAATTCAAAGAAAGGTCATCTTTGAGGCGAAAATGCCTTTCTTTTCTCTGAGGTGGAACAGGTACTTGCATGAAGGCGGCCATATTTAACAATAACTTAGATATTTAATCGACCTCCCAGAACTTGTTAAAGTTAACGACTCTTTAACATTACTTTTGTCGTTAAATTTTTTGAACAACAGTTAACAAATTTGTTAAATTTAACGACTCTCTAACGACACTTTAACGACTGCGTTAGCTTAACGACACTTTTGAACAACCGGGTCCAGAAGATAAATGGTAAACCTGTTAATTGTTATGATTTAAATGAAGGAGAGGAATGTGCTTTTCCTTATCTGTTTCCTAAAGGAATTAATGGATTTTCACATAAAAGAAATTTGCCAGTACCTGTATCACAATATTTTAAATATAGACTTCTGTATAAAGATGGACGATTTAGGAAAGATTTACCATATGTTATGCATGCTATAAATTATTATGAATTTAGCAGATTAATGAACTTTGTCAGTATACACATGCGAATGAAGAAAAATGCAAACCCTGTTAAAGCTAAAGATATCAAAGATTTTAAAGTAAATAAAGATTTCGTGGAAAATTCTTATATGTTTATGAAACAGATAAAAGGCACTGCAGCCTACTGGAAAACAACTCTGCAAAATTTGTTAGCAATGTTCAAGTCTTTAGGTCCTCCAAGTATTTTTCTTACACTTTCAGCAAATGATATGCATTGGCCGGACCTTTTAATGCATCTAAAAGGATGCTCATATCATGAGGCCAGTCAAATAAAAAATGGTATTGATTTAGTTCGGCAAGACCCATTTATGACAGCATTGCATTTCCAAAGACGATACAAGTCTTTATTTAAGCATGTTATATGTGGTAAATTAAAACCTTTAGGAACTGTAATTGATTTCTTTACGCGAATTGAATTTCAAAATCGTGGAAGCCCTCATGTACATATGTTTTTATGGATTGAAAATTTTGAAAAAATATTTTCACATCAGGCAAGTTTACTTGATTATATAAATAGGACTATTAGTACAAATGGTTCTTTAAGTCAAGCTAAAAAATTTCAAACTCACTGCCACACATCTTACTGTTTACGCACTTTAGGTGCATGCAGGTTTGGATTCCCATTTAAGCCATGTCAAGAAACCAGATTGCTAAATAATATTGATATTTCATCTGAAAGTTCCAGAGGGAAATTTTATGAACTTCAGAGATCAAGATCTGGTGCTTATATTAATGCTTTCAATCCCATTATTCTTGAACATTGGCAAGCAAATATGGACATTCAGATAGTAGGGAATGCTGAATCTGCAGCATATTATGTTTGCGCATATATATGCAAATCTGAACCGGAGGATTTGAAGAGCATTCTTTCATCAGTTATTGAAAATATTCCTGAAGGTGCTAGTCAGAGACAAAAAATGCTTAAAATTGGGTGCTGTGTTTTAAAATCTCGTAGACTGAGTGCACAAGAAGCTGCATATAGATTGAATAATGATTTACATTTAATTGATACAAGTAGGTCTTTTATCTATTTATGTACAAAACCAAAGTCAGAAAAGTACAGAATTTTGAAACCCAAATATGAAAGGGACAAGCTGGCAAATGACAGTACAGATATTTTTTATAATAATATTTTAGATTATTATAGAAGTCGTCCATTTGAATTAGAAAATGAATGCTTTTATGAATTTGCACAATGGTATGTTAAATGTGATGCTCCTAAATGTCTTCATTCAAAAGGTAGGAAACCCCAAGAACGATTTAAACTGCTACAACCCCACCACAATTTGTTTATGAGGAAAAGAACTAAAGCATTGATTGTTTGATTGATTGTTGGTTGCTTAACGTCCAGTGGCAAATATTTCATGCATATTCAGGACGAGAACAAGTTAACAATAAATACAATATGTAGGTTCTGTAATAGAGGCTACCGGGATTAAGGTCGGAGAAATTTAGACTGCCACGGGAAATGAGGGTATATTGGATAGGGACAGAAATTTAGCCTTGCAACAGGTCACCTACAGACCCCTCAAAGAGTTGTTGCAAGGGTTCTTAACGTGCAAAGAGCGTGGCACTCTCTTTACACGAGGCATCGGATTTAACGTCCCCATTCTGACCGGACGTGGCTGCAAATTTGTACATCCCGCACAGCCAAACGGACGCCCCACTTTAGCAAGGGTTTTACTGCCGGTCGGAGGAAGACCGATGGTGACCATACTTCTATTCCCCAGTCACCCTTGGGGAATTGATTGTTTGATTATCAAGGACAAAGTTGCATACTGATGAATATTTTTATGGCTTATTATTAGCATTCCTTCCTCATAGAATAGAAAGTGATATTTTGAAGAAGTGCTAAAGATGCTTTTCTTCACAAATATGATAGTATGGATGTAGGTAAAATTAGGTCATTAAAATTAGTGGATGAAATTGAGAATGCTGTACGTTTTATTAGGTGTACACAAATTGAATTGGCAGCGACCTTAAATCCATCCACAACTGAAGTTGGAATTGAAAATTGTGTTTCAGATGATGTTGTGTCAAACATTTCTGTTCCTTTATTGAACAGTATGGATATTGATGAAGAAATACCAAACTACATACATGACAATTACAGTGATATTGAAAGTAGCCATATTCATAATTTAGAGGTTAATAGTATGTCCATTGACACTTTGAATAGTAAAATATTGAAACTTACACATTGTCAGAAGAAAGTCATGAATTATATAATTACACATTACAAAAATGATAATTTTTTGTCAGTTCCTATACATATTTTTATTAAATGGCAGTGGGGGTGTTGGGAAAAGTTACCTGATAAGACTTATAATAGAATGGCTAAAAATGTGTACATCACAAATTTTAGGTTCTGATCCCGTTATGGTATGTGCCCCAACAGGCACTGCGGCTCGAAATATTAATGGCAAAACTATCCATAGTGCACTATGTCTTCCTGTACAACATGGACGTCAGCCCAAGTATTTACAGCTTTCTGGAAAAATGTTAGATAGGCTTAGAAAAACATTCAAATGTATACATACAATAATTATTGATGAAATTTCGATGGTAAGCTCAGTAATGTTGCATCATATTCATTTGCGTTTATGTGCAATCAAAGGGAATAATGAAAAATTTGGTGGACTAAATATAATAACTGTAGGCGATTTTTTTCAGCTTAAGCCAGTCAGAGGTAAATTTGTTTTTGAGGATTTTGAGCTGTGGAAGTCTGTTTTCAAGCCATTTTTTTTTTGTGCAAAATGTTAGACAGGCAAATGATCAGACCTATTCAGATCTACTTTCAAGAGCTAGAGTTGGAGCATTAAATAAGGAAGATATTAAAATTTTAAATGCAAGGGTGATACCTATATCTAAAGAAAAGAAAGCAAATATTTTGCATTTGTTTCCAACAAACAAACAAGTCAAAAACCACAATGATAATATCCAAAAGCTATTTCAAAATTATGACGTAATCAATGCTATGCATCATTTTTCACCTTATGATATGCATCCAAAAAATTCTTCAGTAGATCTAGATCTTATTCCAGAAGATGACCGCGAGGCTGGTGGCCTTCCAAATAAGCTCACGGTTTCTAAAGGTACACGAATTATGTTGATAAGAAACATAAATACACATGAAGGGTTAGTCAATGGAGCCATGGGATATATAGAATATATAGAAAAAAATGATAATAATGAAATAATGAAAATTTATGTATTGTTTGATGATGTAAATATTGGCAAACATTTTCAAGTTGCTAGTAAACAAAATTCAATTCCCATAGAACCAATTGCTCAGGAATATTATTTCAATGGATGAATAATCATCAGGGAACAGTTTCCGTTGGTACCATGTTGGGGGTGTACCATACATAAAGTTCAAGGGGCTTCATTAGAAGAAGTAGCCATTTCTATTGGAGCTAAAGTATTTGAAAAAGGAATGGCATATGTAGAGTTAAATGTTTATCAGGGCTATATTTGCTTAAATTTGATGCAAGTAAAGTGCAACCAAATGTAAAAGCTGTACATGAAAACATAAGATTAAGAAATCTATCTGACATGTCTGAATAATGTTACAAGTTTAAATTGTGAAATGTATAATCAGTAACAAGTTAACTTTACATATATATATGCATACTTATAAGCTAGCTATATTGTCTGAAGAATATTTTTGTAAAATTAACTAACATTCACTTCATGAGTTTTATTTACCAATTAAGTCAAAGTACTTTTATGGCAAAAATGTGTACCAGTATTGGATATATTGAATCATTTGAAAATGCAAGGAGTACTGAATGGGGTATTGGATAAATAAATCAGAAAATATTTATAAATATTACATTACGATATATACCTCCCCTTATAATAAATACACCCATGCGAAAATTTGCGAAGTGTAGAATGTTTTTGACCCGTCTGTCTGTGTGTCAGTCAAAATCTTGTCATCACAACTTCTTAACAACTACTGAACAGAATTGCATGACACTTTGTAGTTAATAAGGACATGTTAAGTAGATGTGCATATCCACAGGAAATTACGATTCAATATTTTTTCTAGGAGTTATCTCCCCTTTGAACATGATCAACTACAATCCTGAAACAAATTATATTTGCTATAGTATAGTGCTTATTTTTCTAAATGTGTTTCATGAAAAGCTATATATTGCCATAATTTCATATTTCTATCAGTTTAAAATGTACATAAATACTTCTTATATTTTTAGATGATGCTAAAGATTGCTGATATAAGGCAAATTGAGCCAGATAGTCCACATGAAACACCTACTGTAAAGGCAGTGGTACTAAATGTAGGCCAAATACAAAAGGAACATGGAAAAGAAAGGCTATATGTCGTCTTAGGGGATGAGACTGGGAGCATAACTGCAACAATATACAATTTTGATGTATTTGATAGATTCAGGAAAAACATGGGAGTAATACTGATGGATATCCTCCTCAAACAGTCGTACATTGGGATTACTAAACGTACAGAGGTTGCAGTTACTCAAGCTTTCATCATACCTGATGAAGTGTTGGAGGCAGCTCCAAAACTACCATGTGAAGCAGATACCATTACAGCAATTTTGAACTCGCCAGAAAAATCATTGCATTCAGTAAATGGTATAGTCTCAAAGGTATGTTATAGATCTAAAATGTATGTAGTTGGCTTAATATGAAAGAAAAGATTTTTAACACTTGATAATGATGGTTTTTTTTGTAAAAACAGAAGATACTGACACAGCAAATCAGCTGCATTAATAAAAAAATTACAAAGTAACAAATGACAGCAAGACCAAATAAACCAAGAAGAGACAGACACAAACAAGGAAACCTTCAGGAAAGCAATACTTTAAATTAAAGCTTGTGAATTGAAGTTCAAGAAGTAGATATTTCCATTCTGTTAAATGTCAGATTTTGTTGATCATTGCCAGGGGAGTTACCAACAAATAATATCTTGATATTAACAAAAAAAAACGATTTAAGTAAATATTTCATGTAGCAGGCTTATATTCTATTGAGAAATTATACGATTCAATTTAGGTTAGCCCAGCAACTACAAAACCGGTAGGTGGAAATGATGTACTATTTCAAGAAATATCACTTAAAGACAGTACAGGAAAAGCGACAGTTGCAGTGTGGGATTCTATGGTAGATACCATACAGAAAGGCAAAGTAATCAACATCAGTAAATGTAGAGTACGACTTTTTAATGCAGAGAAAAAACTATCAACAACGAAGGCTAGTGTTTTAGAGGTTTGTACATGTATATGTTTAACTATAGAAAGTTAAGTGCAACTGCTTTATATAATAACTATTAGTGACAAAAGGTTTTTATCGCATTTTGTATAGTTTTCATAATAATTTATGAATCCAAATACACAAATAGAGGTTGCTCTTCTCTTGCGAGAGGGTTGCAATATTTAAAGTTTACATCTTCAATGTGCAAGCATATTAGAATTTAAAGTGTAAATTTTGTGACTGGACAGAAGGAGAATCTTTTTTCCTCTTTCATTTTTTAGATCTATTCAGAATAACTGTGTCCATGTTTTGCTTGCCACTAACGCTTTGAAAAACATGACATAATTATCAATTTCCGACAAATCACAAAACCTAAAATTACCACACATAAGACGGGTGAATAAATATTAAGTGAGGTCTAGAGAGTTGTATTGATTCTGAACAAATGGGTTGCACTTATATTAACTTAGTTATTCAATTAGCACATCTTTTAATTCATTGGTATTTAAGCAACAACTCTTCACTGTGTTTTATCATTATGTTACAGGTAGTTGCAGAGAGTGAACTTCAAGAGCTACCAATAAGCTCTGATGATGATGATGATGCTGACAGAACTGATGAAGCTGCGCCTAGTCATATGCCAGTTGGTAGTGTTATTGCAGTCTTCGAAGTAGATCCTTATCTTGCCTGTCCTATCAACTCATGCAGTAATAAGAAATTAGTCACTGTACTTCAGAATGAATTATATGTGATGAAATGTAGTAAATGTAATGGTACTTTCAGAGCATCTACTGCTAAAACATATTTGAGAGTAGTTGTCCTCCTCAACACTGAAAATGGTAACAAAAAATGTGCAATGTTTCTTCCAACTATTAAACAGGTGTTTGAGTCAAGGGGCATTGATTTTCAGACGGATTTTGATAAAACTAATATCATGGAAGCCATCATGAAAATTGTGCCGTTTGAAATTAGATATACACTCCGTGGAACTACCATTGTAAATATTTTGATGAAAAGGAAGTAAAATTCTGCTAGTATGATGGAAATTGCTGTTTTGAGCTTCATGTTTTGTTGTCAATTTTTTGTCTACTTGTTAGATTAGTGCATATCTTGTAGTTATTTAATTTACTTTTTTAGTTTTTAATTATTGTATTGATATAATATGGTATTGTCTTATTGTTAGATTAGTGCAGAACTTGAAGTTATTTAGTTTACTTTTTTAGTTTTAATTATTGTATTGATATAATATTAGATTATCAATATTTTTAGTGTAATCAAATTTTTATGGTAGAACAGTTATAAATGTGTAAACTTATTTTGAATTTATTAACAAAATAAAGTGTTTCTGTCATATCGACAGTTAATTTTTAATGTTACACTAGAGAAATACTCAAGTGTCTGAGTTCTTTAATTAAATTTTTATTTTATAATAATTAGAATTAAAATAATGTTCAAAAATCATCATTTAAATGTCTTATTTAAATGCTTATAATGAATAATTCTCTTATATTAGTTTTGTCATTTTTCATGCATATGTGAACAAATAATGGATAAATAGTAAATGTTAAGGAGACAATCTCCCAACACCAAAGTTACTATGTGATCACATATTGTATTAGTATTCTTACTATTCACACACAGATGAAAACATAATGGATAAAAGTAAAACATACCGAACTCCAATGAAACTTTTAAAGCGAAAGTCCTTAATCAACTGGCAAAAAAGGGAGGGCTCAAACACATCAAACGAATGGAAAGCAACTGTCATATTCCTGACTTGGTACAGGCATTTTCTACTGTAGAAAATGGTGGATAAAAGCTGGTTTAAAGCTAGCTAAACGTCTCACTTTTATGACAGTCGCATAGTATTCCATTTAATTGAAAAATGGGGTACAGCAGTCGATCAACATGGTGTTTAAATCGTAAATACCAAGAGACATCAAATATGTCAATAGAAAAGAACAAAATTATACAAAAACACTCAAGAGACAAGACATATTAGCAAAAAGTAAGACAAAAATTTAAAAATTACCATAACACAATAGGACACATGCAGGATGTAAAAATACTAAGCCACGCCAAAACGATAATATCAAAAAAGGAACGAAACAGTTGGGGTTAGAATTATACAGACAACAAAAAAGAACACTGTGCCACGTAATTAAGATAATAAACAACTACAGTACCTAGAATCTATACTTCAAAAAATATTATCAAAAGTACCATCTATAGATTGTATTAGTATTCTCACTTTTCATACATACATGAAAAAAGAATGGATAAATAGTAAATGTCAAGGAGACAATCTCCCATCTCAAAAGTTGTGAAGTCAATTTCATAATGGTGGCACACTTCTTATTTATGCAGTTTATACATATAGTTGTGACTGGAAGTAAAGTAATCAAAAATTAATCAGAGTGGTGGCCTATGTACATTTTAATAAGAAAAGAGAGATAATGCAAGTAATTGCATCCTCTAAAAAAATATTATCCCCTGTGAGTTATGCCCTTCCAACGCAAAGTGTGGGGCATATTCTTTTACATCTGTTTGTCCACACTGTGCATATTATATAGATTAAGAAATCTTTCTATTAAAAAAAAACAACAACAAGCTGTTGGACTTTATGGCAATTTTTCCTTTATGTGAAGTTTTTCCATCTAAAATTATGCTGTTGCACTTAGTGTTCACCTATTGTCTTTTTTTTTTTAAAAAGCAACTTGTTTATAAAAGCATTTGGTAAGGTTCAGGTTTATCATACTTAAGACAGAATGTCAAGTAGTTAATATGAATCTGATATGGAAGGACCATGTATTTTGAATTAGTTACGGGTAATAAATAAATGCATTTAAAACATGGAGCATGTATTGCTGATTTGAGAGGTTACTTATTGGACATGCCATCTTTAGCAGTTGTTTGAATAATAGATATAACATGGAGTCTTAATGAAAGGAAAAATCATTTCTTTCTTGCCGTTTTGTGGAGAAGTCTTCACATGTCTTCGCATTTTAAGAGTATTAATACACAACTGACCAAATTTGCGCTTTATTATGCAAATTTACATAGCCGCATATGAAAGCAGTATTATTTCTTTGTCAGGATGGATTGTATAATACAAATGACAGCAGTATTGGAACACAAAGACTACTTAATCTGATGTAAGGTGGTGCTGTGTTTCAGCAGTGATATACAACATATTGTCTTGTTTTTTTATGACTAATTAGCAGTTTTGTCAGAGGTATTTATGAGGCTTCCGTGGTAAGTGTTGGTGGTTTTTCCATGACTTGTGATTTGTATGGTAGAAATTCGCCTGAAGTGTTGAACAGTAGGTATATCATTGTCAATCTGTTCTTCTTTTTCTGAAATAAAAAAAAAACATGTATGAGAAGAATAATTCTATGACCAAATAAATTGGAAATGTGTGCATGAGACACAGATGATGCTCCCTCTTACATATAACGTTAAAAAGAGACACAACTGAAGAACGGTAATAGTGTCGCATCTAAAAGTCGTACTTGATCTGAGTGTGGCTATAAGCATTGTGTATAAATATATGACATATTAGTATGCATAGAATGAGATTAATTCATCTGAAGTGTTAAAATATATGTTCCACGGCTTTAAACCGATTCATCCCTCAGCTTGGACAATATGTTCAGATGATGCTGTATTTTCAGTGTTATATTGACCGTAGTAAGAAACACAAAAAGAGTAACACAGTTCCCGTGTAATATGTAAATACTACCATGCCACCTAACTATTAAAATAGTTTCCTTCATCTTAGTGTTCTAGTTTTAATTGCACCTGCTATAAATAATTTTATTTGCAAATTACATACATATGGGCCAAGCACAAAACATAGCAGTATTAATTAATCTGTCGAGAATTACAAAAATAAACATACAAAATGCATATTAACAATAACATTGAATTTAAGTTTGCATAATTTGTATTAAATCGAGAAAGCGTATAATACATACTATATGTACTATCAACTACAAAAAGATTTTGTCCACTTTTTACTAGAGTGTTAAAATACTGGAGACTTAGAAAACATGGTGATAGAATATTTTCTAATTCAGGAGTCCCCCGAGTTACATGAGCAGGGCAAATTATCATGGTTAGGAAACATCCACTCAATTTTAAGATTTGTATATCCTGATCAAGATAGTTTCAGATTATCAAAATATAAATATTAAAACACAGTTATTTTTCACAGTTGAGATTACTATATAACCACATTAGAAAATTGAAATATTTTATGGTGTGAGAGTTGGTGATAATAAAAAAATAAATTGCGTACATATATATTTTTAAATCTCAATTTGAGCCATCTTTAAATTTAAATGATGAATATATATATTTCTAGTAGTATTCCGCTGTTCAAAAGTCATAGGTCGATTAAGCGAAAGGGTACTTAACTCGTAGATTTGATCAATGTCAACCGGTCGCGAAAGTCCGTTATATTTCGATTTTACTATTGTCTATCCCACATAAACTTGATGTGTCATAAATTTACATTAGATTATCTTCAAAATGATTGGACAACTGACTTCATGTGCATGCTGGAGGACATCTGCATGCTACATGATGTATTATTACTCTGATTAGATACCATGTCAGATGAATCCTGTACTGCAACACTAGTTACATATATCATAGTTCGATTACTCAAAGCAGTTATAGCTTCTACAACTTTGACAGATGTGATTACTGACAAAATTTTAGAGGATGAATCTATGCTCTTATTTCCTTAGTATGAAGTACCTACATTTTTGTACATCATTCACCATGCTCTCTTTTTAAAGCATCTTAGCTTTTTTTATCGCTGTCTCTCTCTGGCTTATCTCCATAGCTTTTTTCATTTCATTTTGCTCTGTAAAAAAGAAAGGATATAAAATCAAGATCATGTACCAAAATAATTTAATTCGACAGGTACTTTTAAAAATGTTAAGTGTTTGTTTCACCCCTTAGTTCTTGTATTATATCACATCTCTCAAGATGTTCTGTCATATTTTTCAAAGGAAACTAATCACCATTTCTACTTTTCTTGATGTCACCACGATATATGTCACATGTTTGAAATTTTTGAAACTTTGGAAGGCCATGTGATAAAAACGATGTTTCAAGACACAAATGTTTATAAATAACAAATCAAAGAAATATACACGGACAAACACATTGCTTTCTACAAGTAAAATCTCGATTTGGTGATCATCGTGTTCTCCTCATTTCCTGTTGCTGTCTTTGTCCCCGGTAGTGCTAAGAAATGATATTTCAGTAACAACTATTCCTTCGAAAATTTTAAGTGACCAAGTTACAACTGCTGGGATTGTTTTAAGTGTGATTACTTCCTCCTGTGTTTGCCAGTTGTTCATGTCCCCGCCCTTTGAATTATCCTCGGAGCTCGTTGGTCTTGACATCTCCCTTTTTATATTATGTCATACGACTAAAAATGACTTCTGTTTATTTTTTGTTGGATCATTACAAACTACTTAACATCAGGGATTGCTTTACTAACTAGAAAGTCCCTGTTGACATGTTAACTTGATTAAAACGTGAAAATAGGAAAACCAACCTGTATTTGGATTATCAATTGTGTATTGGAATAGTCTGTTGACTTTCGACCTTTGTACAGGTTCATGACCAAATTGTGTATTTGCACTTTCTGGAAGTTCTATGTTGACTTTAGACCTTTGTGCAAGTTCATCACTAAATTGTGCATCTCCACATTTTGGAAGCTCAGTGTCGACTTTAGACCGTTTTACAATTTCATCTAGACCATTTTACAAATTCATCACTAAATTGTGTATAACCACTTTCTGGAAGCTCATTGTTGGTTTCAGTCTTTTTTTCTAAAAACCCGTTATATCTTTGACAAAATAAAGGCTTAAAAGTAAAGAACCACTAATTCAGACCCGGTCGGAAAGAACAGTAGTATATTAATATAGTGTTTGTCTCGTGGAAATAGTATTTTCCCCTAACAGGACCCGACCTGGACTAAAGATATATACAGGTGTAAGGCTTTACACTATAATATTACCTCTTAATTCGGGGGAAGAAACTGTGTCTTCGAAGTATGTCTGGCCCACAAGATGACTATACACAAGAGTGCGCAGACTCCGTCCTCAGCTTCATCCGTCAAGAGGCCAACTAATGTCGGTTGTCTGCTCCTAGCTGGGAGAAGTTCC